GAGACATAATATAGTTAATATGTCATGGGATCCACGTATTACTACAATTTAACCTTTAGGACAACCAAATTTTTGGTGTTGAGGTGGGCGGTTTCTAGTGAATGAGTTCCTCATCTAACTTCAATTTAGCTGTGGTTCTCGTCTCTCTTTCATCAGCAAAAGGAAGCATGGTGGGTTTTTTTTTGGGTCTAATTGTATCCCTTGGATGCTTTTAGAGCTGAAACTGATGGTGTAGCTGGTTTGAGGTTGAAGCTGAAAAGTAATGCATAGATTAGAATATTGCCCTGTAACCTTTAGGTTCAAACTTACGATTAGAAATCTACAAAGTCGTCTTATTAGATTCGTTCTATTTATCTTGTTCAAATGGTAATGATACTGTTTTTAAGATTTATGCTAAAGTTCCTCCCAATTGTAGATTCTAGTTTGTTTTTCCTTTAAAAACCTTGATTTGCAATGTAAACCTAAGCCATATTCCTTTCTCTTTTCTTTCTGCCTTTGTTAAATCAAGTACCATAGATTCTTGATCTATCACCTGATGCCCATGTCCTTAATCAGCCTGTAAGATAAAGCTCTTTAGAGTCTCTTGTAACTTGTCTTTAATTTGGTTGAATTCAGCACTTGATCAGGTAACACTAAACAGTTATAGTGGCTGTTTCCTTTCTAAGAGCCCTTGAATGGAATATCTGCCAAGAGCCCCTTTTTTTTTTGGGGATTCCATTTCCTGCTAAGGTGTTTATTGTTTCTTTTTGGTGACTTTTGGGCTAGATCTTTTTTTTTTTTTTAATATTTTTGGGGCGAGGAGGGGGTGGTGACGTAGCCAGAAGGAAAATGCAGTCACCTTTTTACTGGTCAAATTTGCCTTACAGCAATCCTTTTGAACGTGCAGCGTTGATTGTTTTGGTTTTGTTTAGTGGTTGAGTTCCATCACTTGTTTTTTGGTAATAGTTCTTTATCTTTTGCTTCTTTTGCAGGGCCTGCAGATGTTGTGATATTTTGTTATTGTCCTTTGTTCTTCTAATTGATCAATCACGTGATGCTTTTTCCCAGGAGTGGAGTCCCGGCTGGCCACGCTAACTTTGGACATGGATGATCTAAACAAGATCTCTACTATTGGCAACCGTTCAGACCTACCTTCCAGCTTCCAGCCACAAGATATTTTGCAGCAGCTGACCAGTCTTCCTTCTCTGTTTAACACCCTCCAAGCTCGCCGAGCCATCATACCAGCTGCAAATGGACACTGCTCAGCTCGTGCACTTGCACGCTACTATGCTGCACTTGTTGATGGAGGGGTGGTGCCAGCACCCCATTCTTCTTCGGGGCCTCCACTTGGAAGCCATCTTCACACTCCAAAATTTCCTACTAAGAATATTTGCAAGAAAAATAGAGCTGCAAATATCAAAAACTTGTTGACTGCATCGAAGAAGATTGGTAACTTTCACCAACGGCAAGAACGTGATAGTTCTGGTGGAGGTAATTCTCGCAGGACTGCAAGGGGTAACAGTTACACTAGAGTTCCTGTCGACTCTAGCAGCAGCAAACCTTGTGCATCTGAAGGTGATAGTTTTGATGGTAGAAATGTTAGCAAGCTCTTCTGTAGCCCTCGGATTCATGATGCTTTCATGGGCGTTGGAGAATATGAAAATCTTGCCCTTCCAGATGGGCAGTTTGGGCTTGGTTTTAAGAGATCTTACACAATGAGTGGCGACATTGTTGGCTTTGGGCATTCAGGTATGGGTGGCTCTACTGGCTATTGCAACATAGAACACAGATTTGCAATAGCTGTGACTATCAATAAGATGTCAATGGGGACTGTAACTGCTAAAGTAATCGATTTAGTTTGCACAGAGCTTAATATCCCATTGCCAAAGGAGTTGCATAGGTTTGTGGAGGGATCACCTGATGACGTGCTAAATTCGGGAACACCTATCATCAATTGAGGGAAATCCATTTTCACAAGTTTTTTTATTGTGCAAATATGTACATGGAGGAGCATTTGTTGCCTCATCCTTTGTTAAGTTTAAGATTTGGGTTTTGGGTGCTGAAGGTTCGTCAATCCGGCTTTGATTGACTAGTTCGCACCTGAAATTTCAGAAATGTGCGAACTGTGAAGAGGGATTTTTTTCTTTTGGAATGAACTTAAAATTAAATATCCTCCATCTATCAAATTATTCCTATTGATTAATCAACAAAAAAAATGAATACCTGCACATGTGATGTCTTTAGAAATGTTTATTTTCTAATGATTGTTATCATAATGGTAAAAATATAGTACGCAAGTAGCGGATATTTTAAATAATTGTTTAAAACAGAGCAAACCATCTCTAATATTAGTTAATATTAGTTAGTTGGCCTATATGGCTCAAATCAAGTAAACATCGTCTAATACCATATTTTTTTGTCAAACTATGTCAAAGGTCATCAAACTTTTCAAAAATCTAATATTGTCCACCTAAATATTTTTTTGGCTAAATACTCTACTGAGAATGATTAATGTGACCTGCTTAAATTTGTTTTAGAAACGGCATGAAACTTTTTTTTTAGTGTTTCTAAAGCACCCTCTTTTTCGCCAAATGTTTTTAGATTACCAAAAACAAAAACAAATTTACCAAATAGTGTTTTCTATTTTTGTTTGTTGTATTTTTTGAATAAAAAAAATACCAAACATAAATGTGGGCAAATGTGACCAAAACTTTTTAAATGTCTCATTTTGCTTACTGAATTATTTTTTTTATATCAAATAGCTCACTAAACATTTCATCTTCCATATGTGCACAATGTAATAAACTTTTTTGGGGAAAATTCAATTGTCCCTTAATCTTTTCAAGGAAACCAAACCCTCAATGCAAATCTTAATACATGATTGCCACATCGTTTAGTAAAGATACAAATTGTTATGTATTAAAATTCCTTTAAATACTAGGCAACATACTGTAACAGGTTGCGGTTATCATTTTGTATGAAGAGATCTACGTATGTAGTATGATATAAGATATATTTTTTAATGTTCAAAGCATCATTAAGTTACAATATTAGTACTGTAAAATACTAAAAGAAGTACAATAAAAATAAAAATTAAATAATATTAAGTGTTTGGATAGTAGATCATTGGGGATAATTTTCTGAAAAAATACTATTGCATTTTTTATGTAATGTATGTAAAATAAAAAGGTGGTTAGAAAATATATTGATGATGTAAGCAAATAAATTTTTGCAAATAATCCACTATCCAAACAAACTAGCAAGTAGAATATAGTAAAAGCTACTATCTAGTTGTTTGACTACTGTACTATTAAATATGGTGAAAACTACTTCTAATCTAAATAATAATTCAAAATTTTGTTGTTGTGGATTGTATTAATAATCATAAAATAGCTATAAAATACCAATTTGTGATAGTATATAAGTGCCAAAAGGTACTAAAAGCCTATAACTTCCAAAAGATCAATATGCTATAGTACTAATATATCATATACCAAAAAACGTACTTTGAAAATCAAAGCTACTATTATAATAATACCAAAACTAGTACTATGAAAAAGCTACCTTCTATCCCAACAGGGTTGCAAAATGTCATTATCGGTGATTGTATTAATGATCATAAAATAATTCTAAAAAACAAATTTTATAAGTATATGTTAGTGTCAATTTGTATTGAAATTTTGTAATAAGCAAAAGATAAGTAAGTTATAGTATTAATAGTCTCAAATACTAAAAAAAATATTATGAAACCTAAAACTAATACTGCTCAATATAGTTAAAGTTCCAACCTAATTATTTGACTATTGATACTATCACATATTACGTATTGTAATGTCCAAAATGTGGATAAGTTAATATTAGTGCGGTCAAATATTTAGAGAAATACTATGACAACTAAAAATAGTACTCTCCCCTAAAAAAATGTAATTACTTAACTAGTGTTAGTGTAAGATATAATGAAAACTATGTCTCATCTAAATAATACTTTGAAATTTGATCATATTTTTGCCAAAAAATCCATCATAGTTAATTGTATTAATGATCATAAAGTAGTTGTAAAATAATGAAAAAAATTAAATGTATAACTATCCAATATAGTTCAATCTATAATTGGATTATTCTTTTTACTAACCAAAATTTTGGCTAATGGTACTACCAAATATGGTGAAAACAACTTCTTATGTAGATAATATTTGAAATTTCACCATAATTTATAGCAAACATGATTATGAACTAAGTACAAAAGATATATTTCATTAGTAAATTACTAAAATATTCAAGAAAATTATGTTTTGAGTTATTAATTGTGCCAATATGAATTAAATCGTAATATAGAATAACAATGTACTATAAAAGACAAAAAATGAACACGAAGCACTCTTACAAAACAAATTTATGAGCATAATAGGACCAAATGTTAATGTTGATTAAAGTTTAAAAAAGTATTATATTAGTATTGTCAAATTTTACTCTTATATATATAGATTATTTTAAAATTTCATCATCAATAGTTATATTAATAATCATGAATAATTCACAAAAGTTGAATTTCATTAGTAATTCATAAAACTATTATAAAATTTCACAATGTAGAATATATCAATAAGTTAATATGTAAATTATAGTATTAGTATTATTAAATACTAAAAGAAATATTAAGAAAATAAAAGGCAGTATAGTCTAATATAGTATTAGTACTATCAATAAGTCATACCAATAGTATTGACAAATACTAAAAGAAGACATACGATGATTAAAAAAAAATAGAACTATCAATTATAGTATTGGAAGTATCAATAAGTTATGGTACTATGATCATCAAATATTAAAAGATATATTATGTAATTTGTAATGTCTAATATAGTTGTATTACTATTGAATAAACCATTATTCCTGTCAATAAGTCATTAGTACTAGTACTATTAGATACTAAAAGGTGCACTATAAAAGTAAAAAATAGTACTAACTACTATAGTATTAATGTTTTGAATATTTTCATCGATGATTATCAATTGTAGCAATCATCCATCTTCGGTGCTTCAATAGTTGGTCAGAAACAGCCCCAACACTGACGGGATTCATGTGCAATATTCATCAAGGGTCACAATCGTGTATTCCAAGATCAGTACTGGAGATTGTAGCCAAACAACAGCAGGTAATCGAGGACCGGAATATCAGTTGTTTTATGTTCTCTTAAGGGAACAAAACAGCAAACGAAAAACATGTCCTTCCTCCAACCATATTTTTAACACAAACATCTTGCTTCTCTTTCTCCTTCACTTCACTTATTGTCATTTGGAAGATTCTTGCTGGTTGTTGGTAAAATTTGGGAATTCATATCTGTCCAAACTTCATGAACCGTAAGAACTTAAGTTTTGCCTTGGTTATGTTTGTTAATATGCCTCAATGAAAACACAGTCAAAATCTCTTCTTTTATGCAACGGTGCGGCTGTGGACATGGCTGTCCTCCAGCCCTCTGCTGGGGGGCAATCATCACCTTCCCAGGTGTTCCAGCGTAAGTCCTTCTCCGCATTATTCTCTCCCGGTTCCTCACACCCAACCCTCTCTATCAAAGCTTCATCCTCCACACACAAGGGGGAGCCGGCTATCCTCTTTTTGTAAGACGATCTTGATAGGCTTTCTACTCCCTACAAGTATGCTCTGGTGGGCAAGTTTTCCAGAGGCAAACCAAAAATGGACGAGGTGCGTAAGTTCTTCCTTACGTTGGATTTGAGGGAGGCTGTTTCCGTGGGTTTACTGGATTCAAGACATGTCTTCATCAAGCTGGCCAATGAGGTCGACTTCCATAGACTGTGGGCTCGTAGCATCTGGTATGTCCATGGTTTTCCGATGAGGGTTTTCAAGTGGTCGACGGCTTTCCATGTTGACAAAGAACCGTAGGTTGCTCCGGTATGGTTCCAACTCCCTAAACTGCCAGTTCACTACTTCCATAAAGAGGTTCTGTTCCAGATTGTCTCCCCACTGGGGACTCCATTGTTTGTGGATGCGGCAACTTCGAATGCGACACGCCCAAACTGTGCTCGTGTATTTGACCTCCTAAAGCCTCGGCCATCCAGAATCTGGATTGGTAATGGCGCGCAGGATGGGTTCTGACAGAGTTTTATCCCGGAGAATCTCCCACATTATTGCTCCCATTGCTTTCGGCAGGGGCATGGAGTGGAGGGCTGTCATGTTTCGACCAGAGCTCCGAGCAGGCAAAATGGAGGGTGAGAAGTTAGTGAAATCACAAGCTGTGCAACAAAGAATAGCAGAACAGGTGGCTGTTCAAGCAGGCCCAATACCACCTGTCCGCACCACTGGAGTGGGAGTGGCATTGCTGGAATCGAATGAGCACGAAATGGGTGCCACCGTCCACACTACTTCTTTGTGTGCGAGGGGTGGAGTAGCGGCTGAGGCTTCAGATTGTGACGGAAGAGGGAGCCCAGAACAGCAGAAAGAAGACAGGATAGGAGAGGTGCGGCGCTCGAAGGTGGTTCTGGTGGAGGACGTGATGATAGATTCAGCAATGGCAGACTCTGTTGCTGCTGCTGGGGGATTGTCGTTGCTGGGTAATAACGCGCAGGTGATGGGTGCTGCCCACGGCACTTTTCAACCTGTTTTGTACGCAAAAGGGGAGGATATTGCTGGGCAGCTGGAGGCTAGGGTAAATGGTGAAGCTGATGAGAGTCATGAGGAGGAGCAGGTTGAGATCCTAGTGGTAGCGGGAAACCTCTCATCGAGGTCCATCGCAAGTTCTGAGATAGGTGGGGTGGAGTGTGATGACCTTTGCGCAGAGGAGCTGGGTGCAGCGGTGGGGGAGGAGGAGATGGTTGCAGCAGAACTATGTGCTGGTAATTTGTCTCCACGGGGTGAAGTTGGAGCTGTGCCACGGGACATTGGATCTCTGGTGGTGGATATCTTTAACTTGGATCCTATCATACAGCAAGTCCAGGAGAAGGTGCACGGAGATGAGGGTGGTAAGATGATTTCCAAGCGTAGAGGTACGCGTGTCCCACATCCTACTGATCGTTCTTTACGTTCTAAAGCAAAACTGGCCAATAACTCTTTTGCTGCACTCTCTTATGGTTAATTTTTTATTTTGAAATATTCAAGGTATCTTGCGTGCCCCAAATTTTCGTAGATTAAAAAGTTTAATTGCTGAGTCGTCAGTTCAGTTAGTTGCTATATGTGAACCTAAGTTGTCTGTGGGAGAGATTCACTGGATACGACTAAAGTTGAGGATGGATAAATGCATTGCCAATAGTGAGGGTTCTATATGGGTGTTCTATCAAAACTCCCTTGTATGTGCCCCCCTGGGTGAGTCGGGTCAACATTTATTGCTTAAAATACAATCGCAAATGGTATCTGGTCCCATGGTCTTTTCGTTTGTGCATGCAAAGTGTAATGAGCAGGAGAGAAGATCGCTTTGGTCTGCTCTATTGCTCGATAACCCGGGCAATACACCATGGTTTCTGATTGGGAATTTTAATGTCATTGTCTGTGAGGAGAAGCGACGTGGTTTACCTTTTCGCCTGGGGAGGGTTTGGATTTTATCTGTTTCATGGCTTTGGCTAGAATACAGGATGCTGGGTTTTCGGGGACAAAGTTCACATGGTGTAATAATAGAGGGGGAAGCGCGCATATCTGGAAGAGGTTAGACAGGATGTTGTACAATCAGCATGCGTTGAGTTTAGAGTATAATTTTGCGGTGCAACATTTGGGGTGAGATCCCTCGGATCACGCTCCCTTACTATTGTCGGCACTGTTTAGGCTCGATAATAAGCCGAGATCCTTTCGATTCCTGGATGTGTGGACGTCTAAACCGGAGTAATTGGATATTATTCGACGATGTTAGGGTGGATCATTTTTGGACCCTCCCTTGCAGAGATTGACTGCCAAATTGCGGGAAGTAAAACAGCAAGTGCAACTGTGGTCTAGGGACGTGTTTGGAGATATTTTTGCGCGGGTGAGAAAGGCAGAGGGAGAGGTGCTAAGGCTGGAGGGTTTTTTTGATAATGATCCTTCGGAGTCGAATTTAATTGCACTTCAAGAAGCGCAGGCGGTTCTGAGGAATTCTCTAATGGTAGAGGAAGGATATTGGAGGCAAAAAGCGAGGATTAATTGGATTCGGGAGGGGGATAAAAATTCAAAATATTTCCACTTTATCGTTGCGGAACGTAGGGCGAAGGCGGTCATTTATCGGATCAAAGGTGCAACTGGGGATTGGATGGTAGATGATGATCGGATTGCAGCGGAGGCGGTTGAATAGTTTAAAACTTTATTCTCGGCGGAGACTTCGTCAGGTTCCGGGGATACACTGAACGTGCTTGCTCACATGGTTTTTTCACACACAGAATACGGAGTTAGTGAAGGTTCCGAAGATGGAGGAGGTACGAGAAGTGGTGTTTGGGATGGATGGGGAGAGTGCAGCGGGACCAGATGGCTTCACTGGGAGGATTTTTACCTTTGCATGGGAGGTGGTGACGGGGGACGTATGTGAGGCGGTGGTGAGCTTCTTTTGTGGGCAGGAACTGCCCAGGAGTATCACGGCAACATGGGTAGCTCTTATTCCCAAGGTTAGTTCCTCTCAAGATTTTAGTCAATTCAAACCGATTAGCCTATGCAATTTTCTCAATAAAGTGATCTCCAAAATTTTAGCGATTAGATTGGCCAAGGTGTTGCCTGGCATCATATCACCCCAGCAAAGCAGTTTTGTGAAGGGTAGGCAGATTTTTGATAATGTTTTGTTAGTTCAGGAGTTTATAGCTGATATTAGGAAGGCTGGTAGAGGGGGTAATGTTGTCTTAAAGCTCGACATGGCTAAGGCCTATGATAGGGTTTCATGGCCATTCTTGATTCAGGTGCTGAGGTGGTTTGGATTTTTTGAAGCTTGGATTGATATGGTTTGGAGGCTGATCTTGAATGTTTGGTTCTCAATTATTGTCAATGGGTCGCCCCAAGGTTTCTTTAAGTCTAGTCGTGGGATTCGTCAAGGGGATCCGATTTCACTAGGCCTTTTTGTTTTGTGTGCTGAGGTGCTTTCCCGTCATCTGAATTCCTTGAGTGGGCGGCAGGGGTTTGTGCCTTTTCGAGTCCCGCAGGGTTGCCCGATTGTCACGCACCTAGCTTATGCAGACGATATCATTATCCTCTTGAATGCCATGAAAAGATCGCTTCAGCTGGTTATGAAGGTGTTGGAGGACTATACGTTGATATTGGGACAGAAGATGAACCATCATAAAAGTGGTTTCCTACCCATGCTACATTGTCGGATTTGAGGAAGCGATTTATGGCACAGGTCACGGGGTTTCATTCCCAGGCCTTCCCGATTACGTATTTAAGGTGCCCACTATACTCGGGTAGACGAAAAAAGAGCTATTTTGCTGCGATTTGTACTTCATTGGCAAGTAGGGTCTTATCATGGAAGGAACGACTGTTGTCGGCAGGTGCTGGCGCCCATGCCGATCCACATTTTTGCTGTCTCCAATCCTCCGAGAGGGATATTTGACAAATTGGAGCAAATTTTAGCCAATTTTTTATGAGGTTCTTCTGATTTCGGTCCACGGTTTCATTGGATTAAATGGATTCAGTTATACAAGCCTATTGAGGAGGGAGGTGTGGGTGTTCGGTCTTTGCAGAATGTATTTGATGCCTTTTCGTTGAAATTATGGTGAAATTTTAGGCAGCGACGATCATTATGGGCTGACTTCATGCACTTGAAGTATTGCCCAGATGTGCATCCGTGTTATTCAGATTTCTCCTCAGGGCAATCACACACTTGGAAGATGATGATGAATGCTCAAGTGATAGCACAGAAGCATATACGATGGTCACTGGGTACGGATCTGCTAGCTTTTGGCATGACAATTGGGTAGGGACAGGGCCACTATGTAGGCAGGTGGAATCCTTTCAGAAGTGCTCGGTTGCAGACTTTGTCGTGGAAGGTAGGTGGGATCTGCAGCGCTTAAATAGGGTGCTACCGGCGGGCTGGGTACAGCAGGTGATGGGAGTGGCTCCCCCTACCATGGCACAAGCGGATGGCATGATTTGGGCCCCCACCAATTCAGGTGCGTTTACTATTTCGTCGGCATATCAGATAGTGCGCAAAGGAGGTACTGTTTCCCGCCTGTTTGGTTCTTTGTGGCAACGGGTTTTGCCCTCAAAAATTTCCTTCTTTATGTTGAGGTTGCTGTATGGTAGATTGCCATTGATGGATATGTTACACAGGTTTGGGGTTCTGGACCTCTCTAGGTGCTTTTGTTGTAATCTGAACCCGTCCCCAGAAACTATTAACCACGTCTTCTGTATGGGGGAGGTGGCTAAGCAGGTTTGGAGTTGCTTTGATGGTCTTATTGGCGGGTTTAGTGCGGCTTTCACGGTTAGACATAAGGTGATGAGCTGGTGGGTTAAACCTACTCTTAATAATTACCTTGGTTTTATTCTCCGCACGATGCCATCCTTAATCTGCTGGAATTTATGGAAGATGCGGAATTTGTGGATATTCGATGGTAAGCTAGACTCGGTAATGCATGTTTGTGATCGGATTTTTTTGGAGCTGAGAGAATGGTTCTATCTTCGGTTTCGAGAGATATCACTGCTTGATAACTCACGGATTGGTTTTTTTGATATAATAGCTAGGTTGCGGAGCAAGATTATCATATGGGAGGTTTGTTGGGAAGGTACGCATTAGTCGGTGGTGAAATTGAATGCTGATGGTTGTTCAAGGGTAATCCGGGGAGGAGTGGCGGTGGGGGATTGTTCAGGGATTATGATGGGAGGTTCCTGCTTGGCTTCTCATGTTGGTTTGGGGAGGCTACTAGCTTTCAGGCGGAGATGAAGGCTCTGCTTTTTGGTGTGCAGTTAGGTGTGTCCTGGGGCTTTGTTAGGTTGCACTTGGAATCTGATTCACTGGTGTTGGGCCGTATTACTCAGGGGAAGGTTCAGTGCCCATGGCAGTTGCAGAGGGAGTTACTAAATCTGCAACAATATAGACAGTATTTTGAGGCCGTGTCTCATTGCTTCCAGGAGGCAAACAAGTCGGCGGATAGATTGTCTAATATTGGCGTGGAGATTAAGTGTACTGCAATTTATGAGACCTATAATGCGTTGCCTCGATTGGTGAGGGGAGATATTTCTTTAGATGCGTCTGGGTTTCCAAATTTTCATAGATGCCGACGGTAGGGTTATTTAGAGATGGGCCAGGATGTGTGATACAAAGTTATTTCTTACAAAAAAAATTATATAAAATACATTAAATGCTTCCATTACAAAAAAAAAACTAATATCGTATTTATATTGTCAATAAACTATAGTATTAGTACTGTCAAATACTAAAAGAACTATGAAAAAATAGTACTGTTTATAAGTACAATCTATTATGGTAAAAATATTGCTAGCACTGTAAAATACTAAAAGAAGTAATATAAAAATAAAAAATAATATTTCTTAAAAAAAAGATGAACAAGTTATAGGATATGTATTATCAAATGCCAGAAGAAGTATTACGAAAATAAATTATAGTACTATCTAATAGAGTATCAGTATTGTCAACAAATCATACTAGTAGTGTTGGCAAATACTAAAAAATTTTAAAAACATACTGTCAAGTATGGTATTAATAGTGCCAGCATGTCATATTATAGTGTAGTATAATATTAGTATTAGAAAATTATTTCTTAGCTAAACAATTGTTTTGAAATGATGAGAGATTCTTGTGAAAGACAACTGAAATTAGTAAAAAATATTGTTAAAACTTCCTAACCTACGACCAATGTGTTACTACTAGATAATGAAAATGATCCATGTCAATTTAATGATCATTTGAACCTTCATAAGACAGGAAAAGAAAAAGGATCCTATTATGAAGATGTCATGATAGTATTATGTAACTAATACTATGTCTCTAATATCTTGAATTTTATCATTATTGATTGAGGTTGGTCACAAAATATCTATAGTGAACTAGTTTTACAAGCAAATGAATGGAGAATTTATAAGATCATAAAAAGAATCATATTACTATAACAATTTTTCATATACGAAGATAAGTTAAAGAATTTTGTAGAAAAGTTTGGAAGAATATTGTTTAAAAAAAATTTCATATTAGAATTGCATTAAAATTTTATAAACTAGAGACTAAAGGAATGAAGTGTTGAAAGAAAATTATCATCATAACAATAGTGAAAATAATTACAATAATAAATTTATAATTGGAGAAGTTAAAGAAATTTCATGAAATGTATAAGAAGTATGAAAATTTAGTTCTTACAGGGAAAATTATATCGAGAAGAAAGAGTTGTGATCAACTTTACTATTGTAAAGTTTAGGGCATATATGAAACATTTGAAAATTTAAAGTGCTAAATACAGAAGAGAACAAAGAAAAAAACTTTAAATTTTTAATTTTGGCATGTAAGATGTCGAGATTCATGCCTAATCCAATAGAAACAAGAGGAAATGATAATTATCAAAGGAAGAAATTGTATTCAAGTTCAAATTGTTGAGGGATAGAGGATATCTAGAATAGTTTTGTAATCTGTAAGGTAGTGAATGTATATATGTGTCGCGCCCCATTTTTTTTGAAAAATAAAATTACGAATTATAAAATGAATTTTTGATTAATTTTGAGTGAAAATGAGTTTTTAATTTTTAGAGAATAAATAAA